CTCTTCAAAAACATTTATTCTGGCATTCCAGGTTTGGAGTTGTCATCGTGTAGGTCCTTCATTTACCAATGAGCTTGTACGGCTCCCTTGTGTCTTCCTTATCTCAACAGCGTGGAAAATGCCCACTCTCCTCGAATTATTGGAACTAGTCAAATTCCCAAGCAAAGGGAACAGGCTCTCTCCAGCTGGCCTTGCCTATAGTTACAGAGAGCCATTACTTCCCGAGAGATAGTTTAACTTGCTTCAAAAAGTAAGGAAATCAAAGCAACGGCAACGGCTTTGTGTTTGTTTGTCCATCTGCCCAAGTATTTCCGCTACCCCAAACCTACAAACTTACTGGCAATTCTCAGTTAAGTTTGACAGAATTTTCTGAGGTTATTATGTCCTAAATCTCTTGAAACAATAGCTGGATAAATAGAAAAAAAAATAAAAGCCAACCCAGAAAATTCTCTGGAAGGAGAATGTTGGTCAACAACAGGTAGTCTGGCCTACAGCCAGCGGGTTGTGCCGCTCTGGACCAGCAAGGGCCCCTGCTGCTTCTCCAGGTGGGAAAGTAGCCTTTGGCTGCTTTTCTCCTTTTCCCCTTCAGGCCAGCTCTCTTACTGGCTCTTTCTCAATTTTTTACAAGAAACCTCAACTATTATACCTTTGTTCTTTCATTTTCTCCGTCCCAGCAGTTTCATTTTCACTTCCTTTTCTTCTTACCATGCCAGGCAGGCTAACTCGCTATAGCACACATGCTGCAGACCGTCTACTTGGAATATATTCTGAATACTGCCATTTAGAAAACTTAATTTCGCCCCGTAGTCCTGTGAAGTCTTGAAACCGTCTGGATCTTTGCAAACACAAGGCAGAGCAATGTATGGAGTGTTCTGCTATCCCCTGTCAGATAAGATGCTGGGTTTCAAGACCAAAGCATCCCTCTTCGGAGGCCTTTGGATCGGGAAGCAGGGCAGCACCCTCTGGAAGATACGTATCAAGTACAGGTTCTTATCAGAGGTAAATGTAGTTCATCTCTTAATGCAGCATGAGACCTAGCAATTTTTAAGAAGTTAGGCACCAGAATTAGACTGTCTACACTTGCCCTGTTTGAAGGCTCAGGTCTGAAAATCTGGGCACGTATATTTGGAGAACACGGCAGGCTGAGGACCAGGTGTTTTTCCTCTTTGCTTCTATCTGAAATGCAACAGAAAGCCAGGCAGAATTAAATCCAATTTACAGTAGTGGCTTACATTTTTGCCATGATGCCATGGATTTTTTTCAGCTGACAGGGAAACCACACTATCTTCTAATCTTCTTTATTTTACCTGAGCACCTCAGGGTAAGGGAGAAGAGGTCGAAAGGCTGGCCAGGTCCTGGTGACAGGAGCTGTCTCCTGCCCTGCCTCGCTCTCCAGCTCGTGACATATGCAAACCCATTACTTGCAATCTGGTTTCAATTTTATCCCGCTGGGCTTCCCCAGGAGACAAAGCCAGTGCTGCCAAATTCACAGCTGGGCAAACTTTTCCAACCCCGAATGAAGGATCCATCTTTCAGATACTAAACACAACCTGAATTCTTTATCAGCTCATCTACATGTGAGCACAGTAAGGAACTTTGTGTCTATTTTTGTTGCCAAAAGTCATGAGATCACAGGAATCACAATTTTCCTCCTTGCTTACAGTCAAGATGGATCACATCAACTGTCTGTCAAAGTCCTGTCGACATGTATTCGTCTTGACAGTTAGGTCTAAAGTTTCCACTTCATGTGTACAAAGAGCAGTAAGAGATCCCTTCAGAGATTAAAAAATGGTGGCTGGTTGGATTTATTTGCACCCCAGGGGCCATCATTTGGTGGTATATTCCTACAAGTAGCACATTCAGATCTTTCCATCTTCCCATGATACCAGTTGCTGCTTCTGCCAGCTCTCTGAAATGTTCTTTGCTAATGTAGCAGGAGCGGGAAGACTGAGAGAGGGAGGGGGGCAGAAACACAACAAAGGACAACTGCTTTTCAGAAATTATTGAAATCTCATCCTCTTCCTGATTTTCTCCCTAATTCTTCTTTCAAAGAAAACACTTCCATACTGTAGACAGTATTTCTTTGTGTATTATTTCTATAGGCTCTGTCTTATAATGGGCCAGACAGCATACGAAGAGAATTCGGTTCCCAAATCTTTTGCCACTTTGCCTCCACTATATGGAGCCACAAGAAAACTGTATTTTCCTAGGAACAATAGAATAGAATAGAAGATTACAAGAAAAATTACCGTTGGGTTATCCTCTTTAATTCCCTCTGGATTTATACAATCACTTCAGTGAGAATAAAACCAAAAGCAAAGGTATATCACTAAAAGGAAAACGTAGCAACTAATACGTATTAATACACTTTGGGGAACATGCACAAAGAACGTATGCGTGTCTCCAGAAACGGTTATCGTATGAAATCTTTTGTCCCAACAAAGCCTAGGGAACTCAGACCCCTCTTTTCAGGAGTTATTCTTTAATCAAAACAGAAACAGCTGTATTTCGTATCTCCCAGCCAATGCACATTGCTGGAAAAATCAACAGATACCTGTACAGAGAAACAGGCAGCCCAGTATCGGAAGGTGCCAGAACTGAGACTATGCAGGTGACAGAAGCTGGAATAGCCAGGGGTTTCCAATCACACGCAGGAGGGCTGAGAGAATGGCTTCTGATTCAGTGATAAAATCCCTTTTTCAGGCATCAAGGCCAAACATCAACTGTCTGATGTATCTCCTGAAGCATCTGTATCTCTTGGAACCCGTGGCTCTCCTGCAGTCTTCTCTGCAGAGCAGCTGCCCTCCTGCCCAGCCTGTTTCCGTTCATACACAGAATAGACAAGGTATGAAAAGAGCATTGCAATGGATTTTGTGTACTGTAAAAGATGTTATTTAAAATTTCCTCACTTCATGTACTGTTTTAAACAGCTGTCCAGAATTTTGTACGCCTGACAATTCCTTTAGGACACAAAATCCTGATTTGGGATCCTGCCCGAGGACTCTTAATTTCTTATTTCCTCTTACTCACTCTTGCAGGTATGGAACACAACTGTTTCATTTTTTTTCTTTGCAGAAATATGGCTAAATAAAGCATCCATGGAAGTAAAATGTAAACGGCAGGTGATTTCAATGGGAAACGGTCAGACAAATTCGTATTTTTTCAAACGCATCTTTCCGTAAATAATTTGGCTGCAGTACATAGACAGTTACAGTCCTGTAACGTCATGGGAACAGCTTCTGCCAGAGTTGTTTCATGCCTTTTTCCACTTTGAATCCTTAATTACATGGTGAATCAGATGTGATTTTTACTGCTAGTGTAAACAGAACAAACAGTGAAATTTTAAAACCACATTTATTTTTAATACAAAATCTGTTGCACTATTACAGAAGTGAGCCTGTATGTTTACCCCCACATGCACAGATAATTCAGCATCTACAATTAAATAAGAGTAAAATTATATTTCTCTTTTACCAAACCCATTGGCAATTCTTATTAAGAAATGTTCTCTTTGTGCTTTGTAATCAGCGTTTGTAGAATTCATTTCTTATTTCGGTTCCCATCAAGAAAACTGATCAATGGAAAGCTCAAAGGTGCGAAAGAAGCTTATTACAGCCAGCTTACATTTGTGATTACTCCAGTTGTGCTTTACCTACAATATACGCATGGAAGCTGCGAGGTGTACTATGGCCTAACGTAACGCACCGGCAAAAGCTCTGAATGGTTCAGTTAGGAATCTGCAGGAAATAAGCAGAACAGTTCACTATTTCATTTTCACAGCAAAAAAATATATATATTTAAGTAGATGCTTTAAAATACCATGCACACCATTGGCTATAGTACTTCTTACACAGTACAACATAAGCTTTCTTGTTTTATTTGTAACACCTAGAAGCATATAGCATCTACGCTTTAAGTGTATTTACAAATTCAACAAAGTATCTACATATAAAAAGCTTACTTAAAATTAAACTTGATGCAAGTTATGAAAAACCAATTTATTGGCAAATGAAACTGAGCATTCCTTCAACCATAGGTTGTTATAAAAATTTATTTTTGGAGGTAAACATTTGATTGATATAGTATGTGAGAAAATAATTTTGTAACGGCTGATGGTAATCCTTTACCACTAACCCACATCAGCACTTGTCAGATTGAATTCCGTGGTTCCGAGCAGTAGCCCCCACACTGCTTCAGGGTGTAGATAATTACAAAGCTGCCACACTGATCAGGCCGGGACACAGAGGGAAATCCACTCTCGCTGGTGTAGTCGGCTGGTTTGTTTTTTTAACAATTCATTTTACATGAGCTTATACCTTGCTGTGTTAGTAAATAATTTAATTCTGGTTGTGTTTTGGTTTTGGGGTTTTTTTTAAATCTTCTAAGGCCATGAAAACGTGTTGTGCTGTAGCTGTCTAGAAAGCATTTATTGTATATTTGAAGGAAAAAAAAAATCATACTCTTCTTTGTGTAATTTAAAATATTTTAAACCGTCCATTTTTAGCACAACAGTTTCATAACACCTTGTTTTTCTTCACATTTGTACTTTATTTGGCAATGATAGTAGTCCACTAATCACAGTTTACTGCACCAACTGATTTAGTAGTACAGTGCATTATGGAATGCATATTGTATAAAGGCACTGAATGTATTTTGCCCTGTGTTTTCTGGAATATTTTCTCTCATTTTAAAGTTTTTCTTTCAGTGACTGTACAAATTCCAAAATGCATTGCAATGCGTGTCTTTTATGCCCTAAAATCAATCCAATGTGTTTTGATGTAAAAATAGAACACTGTACTGCTGTAATACTTGATAGATTAAAAAGGCTATAAAGTAATAGGAGCAAAGAGCAGATAATAGGGTCTCATTAAGCATCAGCAAATGCAAGTGTCATACTTAAATCATTTAGCAATTATATACTGTACAAACTGTTCCTAAGTGTCTTGCAAAAAGACATATGATAGCTAGACATTAAGTCACCAATTTCACAACAATGTCCACAAAGACATTGAAGTTCTATGTAATACTACTATAACACTCTGACAATGAAAACAGAATTCATATCCAGGGATTCAGCTGAGGACTGCGTAACATTGTCAAACCATGTTTTTATAGTGTACACGAGATTATCTGTGAATTGTGTAGCTTTTTTTTCCATGCATTATACTGTATTTTCAACAGGAAACGAAATTATAAGTCGATGTTATTGTTTGTGTCAGTTCCTTCTAAAAAAAGTAAAAATATCCAAGTTTTGAACAAAATTTGAATTTTGTATTTTGATTCATACTAAGATACCACTTAATGTGTCATTATGCTGTATAATTGTATTGACCTGCATATTCTCATAGCATAAACATCTTGTGGTGAGGAGCTCCGTTACCTGCATGTTCATAGTATGAGAAGGAGGATGTACAAGGGCTTTAAACAAACTGAAGACACAAGGGGATCAAGTTCTGTGGTTACACAAATGAATTCATGGCATTTACAGGAGAAGGAGCCTCAGAGCTTTCATTTCCTTCTGCAGGTTCTTTCTCTTTTTTACCACTATACTGTCCAATAAAGGAGCCATCCTCATTGAACTGACCATTTACACCTTCTCCATAGTCAACTAAACTATCATCACTGTCTTCTTTTTTCACAGTTCTGTCTGAAGGTGTCCGGCTTCCTTTTTTTAGAGGTTTATGGTCCTCTGCATCACTGGAGACACAAACAAACAAACAAAAGGAATTAGCTCATGTATTATATAGCAAGACAAAATCAGCCATGCATGCAGAGTTTATAAAAAGCATGTGGGCAGCCCTATAATCCTTTAGTAAACCCACACTACATTGTAGAGACAAATCAATATGATGCAGTTGACATGAATGCATGGTGTAGGAATGGTTTAAACAGAGAATGTCTTCAGTGGAGGGAGGGGGGCTCTGAGGGGGGAGTGTCTGTGGTTTCTTTTTTTTTCCTCCTCCCATCGTGCATGACTGTTCAATGATGAGGCCTGTGCCCTTGGCTTGGAAGCAATTTAGATGCAACTGCAAGCATTAAAATGTGGGTTGTAAAGTTATAAAAAAAATAATTTATTCGTTCTACAAAGTAACAAGCTTATGATGTGCCGTGAAGTTAGTCTGTTAAACTTTGTAATTTCTTGGACTCCTTGAACATGAATGAAGAATGAATTTGGTTAAATGAAATATACTGATTTTCTTTACTAGTATAAAGAAAATAGAAGTGCTGCATTTCAAATAATTTGTTACATAATGCAGGCCAGGCTTGCAATTTTCAACCTTACCTTTCAAGAGACCTACATATTCCATTAAAAGGGTGCAGAAGAAACAAATGAAAATAGCCTAAGAAGAAAAGCAAAGTCCATATCCTGATAGTGATCAGTATTTTATCAATAATAAGTTGCTCTTAAAATTGCTAAAACTTTTACTGTATTAGAGGTGAAGCAACAATTTACCTTACAGTAGCTAGAACTGAGGAGTTGAGAGCATGCTTAGCTTTTTTCATTACTTATCAGATCAACCGCTCTATCCTAATCCATAACTGATAACACGTTCTGACAATGATGATGGTGATTTGGAGGACAACAGAAAAAGGAAAGAAAGGCGGGGAGGAGAGGACCCTGGGGCAAAGTCCTGTGGTCTTTCCCTTGTCAGTGGGAAAGCTGCAGCACCATCAGCATCCTCAAATAAATCTGCAGCTGCAGTAGGCTTGTATTTCATGAAATTGATGTAGTTTGGCTCTTTTCAGAATCCTTAACACTGCACTTCAGTTTCAAGATGAAGATTTTGGAGCAGCAGCTCCAAAAACACTATTGCCAGCTGCACTTTTAGGTGCAATTATTCACCTTGTCTTAACCAGAACATGTGTCTTTATTTGCATGCAGGCTACAAAAGAGTAAGTGATTTTTGGTTTTTATTTACCTTATGGAAAATACAAAGAAACGTGTCTAGAATATCAAAGAAATTAAAATACATTTTTCAATATCCACAATATTAGACTGAATATATATTCAGCAAATTATTTTAATTCCTAAAAAAGAAGTATCTTAGTTCTTCCAATAATGTATTTTCTTTTTTTTTCCCTAATTAATATATTTGAACACCTAGAGAAATTATATATATAACATATACACAGATTGTATCGTTAGCTAATGACCTGCTGAGAAACACTTCACTATTGCTAGAAAACCATTACACCAATTTTCCATCAAGCTGCTTCTCTTCATCTCCTCATCTTTTTTCTGGCTTTGGAAGACTCTAAGTTATCACATTCTGAAAGAAGCACGCTTCTAATATGCATATACTTACAGAAAAAGCATACTAGAGATTTTATCCTTCTATGTATACACAAGAAAGAAGTGTTAGGAATATCTATCTTATTAACATGTAAGAAAACCTTCATGTTTAAAATACACAAAGGCAAAAACTCTAAACTCGCCTGTATTAGTCTTGACTTTGTTTAGTTATTGCTGTGTGGCGTGAGGATAAATATCGTATCATTGATCTTCTGTGCTCACTGATGTTGCAAACATATAGGCTAGTAACATTTAAAAGAATGCTACGCCAAAATGTCAAGCATCCAGCAGCAAAGTGCAAATGTTTAGAACAGTGAAAACACAAGCAGATTACGACGACTTTACTGAAGAGAGTTCAGTTTGGAAGGACCCTATATTTAAAAGGGTGAAGATAGAATCAAGTATTCAAAAATCACACACAACATAGTTGCTCCATTGCCCTCATCAGAGGGCATTAGAGTCATTAAAACAGGCTACTCAAGCCAAATGAAGCCCAGAGCCTCACTTTGAAACAGTAACCGGTCCTATTCCCAAAGAAGAATGACCTGGTCAATGCTTTCTGGGTAATACCATTTAGTAAAGAACATTGCGCATATGGTTTGCTGTTTAATTTTAGGTGAATAACTTTATAATTGCTTACAGCATAATATGTAGGAATGAAAATAAATTAAAATTGCATTTGTACCATATTTCACCTGGTCAACAAACGCTGTGCAAATATTCTAAAGTGTGACCCTATCCAGTGTAATTCATGAGGCTGGAATATACAGTAAATACATTATACACCATCACTGTATTAAAAATATCCAAATCTTTGTGTTTAATGCAATAAAAAGCTCGATTTTCATTTGTAACTTAGATAAATCTGAGTATGGGAACTTCTGCTTCGGGTTGCTCTTAGGGTTTTCTTGTTTATATTTTTGTAAACAAAATTTATTTATAAGCCAAACAATGAAGAAATACTTACACAGTTGGTTGCATTGTGTCTGTGATTTTCCTATATTTTAGTAAGGATGCGGATTCTACTGTCTGTATAATTAAAAACAAACAAACAAAACTGCAGATTTACCCAGGAGTGTACCTGCGTGGAGGTGCACGCTAGTGTGAGAGCACAGTTACAGAAGATGCAAAAAACAAATCTGAACCCGGGGATTCCCTCTCTTTTTGCACTATACAAGTCCAGAAAGAGATTCTGCCAAGACTCTGGCAGTGAAAAACAAGTGGGATTATCCAGGGTGCTTTCCACTCCTTGTTCAGGAAAAGGAAACATATGCCATGGTACGATATATTCTTTATCAAACTGAATTATGACTCTTGTATTAGATGAATGCAACATTTTGGGTGGACGGGAAAGAAATCGAGGGAGAAAAAAAAACCACCAAGTAGGAGAGGGGAAAAAGAAAGAAGATACCAATGTTTTGGACAGCACTTTTGTAACCCTGGGGGTGCGGAACAGAGAAGGGACCCTGGTGCTCTGAGGAAATGAATGTATGTTCTGTGTGCTGCCAAGAAGCAAACTGCAAAAGCTGCTGAATTGTTGCATTATGAATATTGATGCCCAAAGAGCTATAGAACACCTTAGGCTGTAGAATATATTGTAGAATATATACAGAATAATATACTGTAAAAACATGTTAAAGCCATAAATTTTGATACAATTATCTGCAAGATTTGCTAATCTTGCTTATGATTGTTCATAAAAATATCCCAAAAGGCAACCAGGATAGATCATAAGTGATTTTGCTTACTGTCTTTTATACTTATCTATTGTAATATCTTGAAATTAAAACTAAAGTACAGATTGGGTTGACTAAAATTAGTGGAAAACAGAAGTTATTTTTGAAATGTGTCATGTATGCAGTGCATACAATTAATAGTAAGACAATAAGTACTGGGAGGGAACAAAACAAGAGGTAAGAAAGGCTATGAATTTCATATTTAGATCAGACAGCCAGGAAAGTTAAGTCTACGGGTACTTTTACTATTTGTTGTCTTACAAATAAATTCCATACTAGTTTTTTAGGGATGAAAGTTGCTCAGTGAAGACTGATATGTACCAGTCATTTTGATAAGTACTGATATGTATCACACACATTTCTTGCCCTTTTAGTTAGAATGGTGTTTAATATTAAAGCACACTCTAAAAGCACGATTTAAGTATTTTTCATAAACAATTGGTAATATATGAAAGCATGTTTCTTTTTCTTCTTACTTTAATGAAACACATAGCAAACTTGCAGCTAATGATTGAGACACGAAGTACAGAGGTGACAATAACATGTGTAAGTGCAAATACAAACTTATTTTTAAACAAAAGTACTTCCATTTCACAAGCTCATCAGTTATTGAAAGAAATATGTACCTTGAAATCTCCTTTCTTCTTTCAACTTTTCAATTTTTCTTCCTTAGATATGGGTACATGCAGCAACCAGTCAGAATGGGGAAGACAGTTTTACGATGCCTCTGCAGTCCAGCAGGCAACTAGTTCCCACTAAACTTTGCCACATTCATGGACATGCAAAAAGACTCAATATATGGTTAGCAATATACTACTTTTCCTTATAACACAACTCTCAGATGAAAGGCAACATAGAACAAACAAAACGGGTAAAACATTCTGGGCTATTGGATGCAGAACGAGGATGCAGACAATGAGAACTGCTGGCAGTAAATTACTTTTCCTGTGCCCTCAGGTCAACAGCCCAGAAATGTTTAAGTATAAGCAGTCATGTAAAGCCATAGAAGTACCTTACACTATGGCTTCCCTGCATGCTCCAGGAGAACCTCTGCCCCAATATCTAACACATTTCTGCTCACGCTCCTAAATTAATAGGACTGTGCAGCTAAAAAATGCTTTCCCTATACACTTATGCACCTGTATCAATCCAGACTTCAAAAAGTTTTAGTATTTCTAATCTAGCTAAAACATAAGCACATCTATATTAGTTTTCTGAGTCGATTTTCTTTGGCATTTCTGTAATACTCAGTCATTAATCTTGGAAAAAGCTGGAAAAACTGGTAGATTAAGATCTGGCTTTAAATGGCAAAGGGTTGAAAAAATTGCTGTTAGTCAAAGAACCTGACTCACTCATTGTGAAAATTTTAAAGAAAAATCTGCCTGAGAGAAATTAAACCAAGATTTCCACCTTTACTATTTCTGGTGGAAAATTATAAAAAGGGAAATCAAAGAACCAATTTAAAAAGTAGTGACACAGATGTTCTAGAATCAAAATAAGAACCATCAAGGGCAAGTGCAGGGCCCTTCACCTGGGTCGAGGCAACCCCCGGTATCAGTACAGGCTGGGCAATGAAGAGATTGAGAGCAGCCCTGCCGAGAAGGACTTGGGGCTACAGGTGGATGAAAAGCTGGACATGAGCCGGCGATGTGCACTCACAGCCCAGA